GGTACAACTCACTTAAGAACCATCTTGCTTAGCAACAAAAATTCTGGTCACAGAATGGTGCTCATAAGTCGAGGACTACCTGTATCAGAATTCCCAGCCTGAAAGTGCATTGGTGGGAATTTTAATTCCAACACACTACCAGGCTGGGGAAAGATTTACTTAACATCCCCAACTGATAGTAGCTGAAGTCTAAAGCATTTAATTCATAGCATTACGTCAACAATTTTGGAGGAAATGACTCTTTGGAACATTTTCACTGGAAAATAGCAGCTTTCAGATCTGCTGCAATGTTTATGATTTGTAAAAGTTGCTTTCTTGTTGGTACAGTCTCTTAAGGGGGGGAATTTGCCATCTCTGGTTTGACATCGACAATATCAAAAATTGAATGCATCACATCTATGCCTAACAAATGTGTTGCTCCATTCCTCTGTTTTTTCTCTTTTCTGATTGGAATTGACAATGAACAAAAGTAAAGCAATAATGCAAAGTCTACTAAAAGGCCATTGAAGGGGCAATGAAAAAAACCAAGCTAGTAACTGTGACAATTACAGTCTGTTCTTTTTTTTTACATGACATAAATACATGGCATGGATAGTGCAGTTGTGGCTGCCATCTTGATTTTTGACTTCCTGCATTGACCCTATGTTAGGATTGTTGGAAGGTTAGGAACGCTCCATCTTGGGCTAGAGATTAGATTTTGAAGGAGAAAGTAAGACTTTTCAATCATTTTAGCTGTGTCAGGTAATATAGCTCTGTACACAGAACAAAATACTATGGGTGCGTTCATACAGTCCACAAGGCTAAAATGTGGTCAACTTGTTCGTGACCTAATGGGTTATGAAAACACAGCTGATGGCAAATCTGATTAAACTAACCTTGATTTGGTGTGTTCTGAAGGTTGTATTGATGTGGTTTGAAGCTTTCCCCCATAGCAACAGTAGCTATGGCGCCCACAAATGCTGTGTGGCTGATCTCACAGCTGGATCAAACTTCACCTTGGTTACAAGCATAATCTCTCCGGAAGTTTACAGCAGATACACATTAGAAAAACATAAGCAGCTGAAAGAGGGAGAAGAAAGAATCTCCTGCGTTACAATCTTCTGTCCATCATGGTGCTCTAGATACAAAGAGGTTCTTTTAGCATGCTAAGTCGTTGCACCTTTTGGTCTGCACCATTTGCTGTGGGAACAGCTACTATAGTTTGTAAATCCTGATTTTGGGCTTCATATGTATGAAGCTGAACCACTTATGGCTTAATCAGTAAACTGCAATTCGGTAAAACCAATCAATACTCAAAGTCATTCTGTAACACTTTTGACTCTCCCCAAAATAAATCTCAGTTTGATTTCTCTCTTTGTGTGTGCCTTCAAGACAATGTTTTGACTCCTGATGATTGCCTAGAGAAGTCTCTACAGTTTTATTGGCAACATTTCAAAAGGGGTTTGTCCTTGCCCACTTCCTAGGGCTGAAAGAGAGTGACTGGCCTAAGGTCATCCTGTTGGCTTCATGGCTAGGGCAGGTCTAGAGCTCACGGATTCTTGGTGTCTAACCCGGTATTTGTAGTGTATTTATCATCTCGCCTTGTCTTCTGGGAGATAAGCTGTACAGGCCATTTTAGATAATCTTCTATCTTGATTTCAGCAAAATAGAGAAAGCCAGGTTGGCCCTGTGTTGTTAAGGTGTTGTCCTAGAAACCAGGAGACCACGAGTTCTAGTCCCTCCTTAGGCATGAAAAACCGGCTGAGTAACTTTGAGCCCAACTCACTACACAGGGTTGTTTTTGTTAGGAAGATAAGGAATATCTATATTTGCTGCCTTGTGCTGTATATAAAAAAAATCTAAAAGAAAAAGGTGGGTCTTCACAAATGCTCCATGATCATAAGATTATTTTCTTCTTTATTAAATACTAGCTGTTCCCGGCCACGTGTTGCTGTGGCTCAGTGTGGTTAAATGGAAAAGAAAGAAAAGAGAAAGCTTTTACGTCCAACAGATGGCGCTGTTTTTCAAAAAAAGCATGTTTTACCTGTCACAGGTGTGACATCTATATAATATAGGTATATAAAAACATGTGCGTATTTGAGTGCAACGTTGTGTCAAAATTTCAAAGCAATCGGTGAGGAACTTTCGGAGATTTAAGATTTTGAACAAACGAACATTTACATTTTTATTTATACAGATATTCATAGCTTTAGTCCCTTAATGAATTAAAATGCCAAAGATTCGCTACTACAGTCACTGCCTTGAGTCACTGCCCACCATGGTCATAACTTCTGGCGGTTGTAAAATGGATCAGTCATGTGACCTTTTTTGATGTAGTTACGTGAATCACCCCAATTGTTAAGCAAATCCACGGTTGTTGAGTGAACACCAAAGTCAATAAGCGAACCAATAGCTTGCTATGAGTGGGATTTTGCTGAAAACCTGGAAATATATGCGGGCTTTCAGCAAAATCATCCTAAAACACAGTCATATGATGGCAGGATGGTGCAAAGGGCTGTAAATGCCGCCCAGTTGCTGAATGTACAAAGTGCAGAGGGGGGGAATGTACAAAGTGCAGAGGGGGGGAAAAAGAACCATCAGAATTTCAAATCTGGGTTGTAAACACTTGTCCAGGCAGGTCCATTGGACCTTAGATGGTTGTCAAGGACAACCTGTACTCTGTTCCTAGCCTGTCCCATGTGTTGAAGGGAACGCTGGTGTAGAAATCTTTGCTAGTTATGTCTACAGCAGAAAGCGAATTCAGAAATCGGGGATGATTCTGGCTGCATTCTTGTGTAGAGACACAAACACCCCAGGCAGCAGAGGCAGGAAGTGGCCAGCCTGCGCTCTCCCTTTCCCATCCATCTGTTCATACCTAACATGGACCAGGATTTTGCACATACCCGCTGCGTTTCTGGACTCCTCGTTTCTTCCACTAAGCACCTTCTGTTGATATGCAGGAAGTGGGACATGCATTAAACCGCCCAATTATTGAAATTGCCACCCAGGATTTGTCTTATATTGACCATCTGACCAAGCGTGGGTCGTAATAGGCAATTCCCGGTAAGGACTCAACTGCGACATTTTCTGCCTGTTTCTGGAAATCTCAGGTCCTGAATTTGGAAACTTTGCCAGCCGCTCATCTACATCCTCAGATCAGCCTGATAATTCCATTTGGGGTTGTCGTCTCCATTTAAAGTCCTGCAGGAGACACAAGGGCAAAATGGGGAATGACAGAAATCAGAGGGACGCGAGATTGGATGAGACAGCTTTTAATATGGAGCTGTCAGCTCCAAGGTGTGGCATTTCTCAGAAGCTCTTAGCACCTTCACAGAGAAAAGTCAAGGACCTCTGATTCCATAATTAATTGCTTTGAATGACAATGTTCAAACAGCGTCTGAAACTGAGTGCATTAACCCTTCCCCCCCCTTTTTAAAATTTCCTATTAGTTTTCTTTTGGGACAATAATTCTCTGTAATTCCCAAGGTGTTGCCCTGCAATTTAAAATCTAAAAATAAGGAGGGTTTGGGGAGTTTTTAACCACTAGATCCTGAAGAAGATTCATCTGGACTACCAGATACAGCTAATCTCAATTTCAAAAATTTTGCTGATTTCTCCTTGAAGAAAAAGGATTTTTGTTTCAGAGGGGGGGGAACTTTCCAATGTTCCCCCCCTCTGGTCCTATCTGGTTATGAAGATTGTTTTTTCCCCCAAGGCTGTTGCCACAAAACACACATAAATCAGAGCTTCTGCCTGATTTGTGATATGTTCACATTTCTCTTACAACTTGGCACAGCACTGGCTAATCTATGATGAACAAATTTTATTGATTGATTAGATTTGTATCCAGCCTTTATTACTTCATACAGTAGGTAACTCAAGATGGTGGACATGCACAATACTCACAAATGAAGGTAAATATACGTGTCCCAGGATAATGTTGCAGTATCCAATCTGGGTCAGTCCACCAGGACCAGAGGTTTAAATTTTCTGAGCTTTCAGACTTGCGCTGGAGCCCTTCCTCAGGGAACTTCTCTCTGCCAGAATGTGTGCTTTGGGCTATTCTATTTTATTCTATTTTATACTGAATCTCTGGTCCTGGTGACCAATCTGGTGACCAATCTGGATTGGATCTTACATATGTAATGCTCCCTCCTATTATCCCCATAACAACAGACCTGTGAGGTGTGTGTTGGACTGAGAGTGAACGACTGGCCCAAAATCACCCAGCTGGCTGTCATGCCTACAGTGGGACTGCAACTCGCTGGATATTACTGGGCATTGTTTGCGAGCAAGCTTTCAGGGCAGAGATGAGCTGAAGACCCTTAAATGTTTCACAAATCAACAGTGCATTGGAGAAAGCAAAGCAATACCAATGTGGCATCCGCCTCAAATGTTTTTCGAGGGAGGATTCCACCTAGTGGAAGTGACTCTGGTATCCAGTAAACCTTGTCAACTCTTGCATTAATGAGTTCTCATGTCGGAGCGGAGATAAAGATAGCAAAAGAATTAAATATTTCAAGGAAGTTTCATCTGAGTTCTAATGAAACCAGGATGTAAGGCACAAATATGTTTCATGCAAGACTGCCTGGACTTATAATAATCTCCATTAAGAAAAATCCTAAGTAATATTGTATGACACCTTAAAATGTCAACGCATCTATTCTGTTTAAACGCCTATATGTCAGTTGGATAAAATTCTATCCAATCTTCTATCCATTCCTATTTAGGAATCAGCCTTTGGACTCATGGAAAGTAGTAACCAGATGGGCTAGACCAGAATGTATTTAGGTTTCTCTGATTGGACACTTTCCAATGAGATCTGATTGGACAACTTTGACATCCTTTGGATCGATTGGTGAAGACGACCAGGCGTTTTTACAGGTTGGCAAGAGAGGGGCGGGGCGGAGTTAGGAGCAGACTAGTCTCTTTCGGAGTTCTCACTCTGGTCCGACAACAGACTATATTAAGTTCCTGGCAGAGCGTCTTTTTGTTATTATCGACGTGGTGGTTTCGTTGTTAGGATGTCTGGCCGTGGCAAAGGAGGAAAAGGCTTAGGGAAGGGAGGCGCTAAGAGGCACCGTAAGGTCCTTCGCGACAACATTCAGGGCATCACGAAGCCCGCCATTCGCCGCTTGGCTCGCCGTGGGGGAGTGAAGCGTATCTCCGGGCTCATCTATGAAGAGACTCGAGGCGTCTTAAAGGTCTTCTTGGAGAACGTTATCCGGGATGCGGTTACCTACACCGAACATGCCAAGAGAAAGACGGTGACTGCCATGGATGTCGTTTATGCTTTGAAACGCCAAGGCCGCACCTTGTATGGTTTTGGTGGTTAGAAAGCTACGTTTCCACTGCTGACAAAAGAACCCAAAGGCCCTTTTCAGGGCCACCCAAGCAGTCAATTTAAAGAGCTGTTTTCATTTGGCAAAAAAAAGACCCCTAATTAATGTAACTACTATAAACTTATTCTGATCGACAACGTTAGTAAATAATAACTGACCAAATGAAACTGCTTTATTTCGTATTTAGTCCTTAACGTTTGTCAAAACAGGCTTATTAAGGTTTTATCATTTTTAAATGTATATTTTCAAGGCTTTTGTTGCATGCTTTTTTGTCTTTCCGGAAAGACTGATTTAGTTATCTCACGGTAGGCGTGAAATGGCGAACCTTTCGCCATCTTTATCACGTTTATCGGGGGACAAAAGAAAGGGGGGGGGAAAGATGTAAGTTAATTACGCGCCTACAAAGAGGCGGCAAATTCAAATCTTGTTAATTGAATCGTAGATTATGTGAGAAATTTGCCACAAGATGGCAGCAGAGGACAAGGATTACCTATTTCTCTGCCCCCAAAAGCCCTTCATGAAAAGAGCTGTATAATAATATGAAAAGACTACAGTATATACTCCACAACTGATCGAACGCTTGATAGCGGAGAAACTCTGATCTCTAGGTACATTTCCATCCTTCCGAGATCAGTAAAATGAGGACCCAGATTGTTGGGGGCATATGCTGACTCTAAATCACTTGGAGATATATGAGTCTAAGTGCTATTGCTATCACTATTAGAATATCTCCAGGGAATAGTTATGGCTTGGAATAATAAGTATTCAGGTAAAAATACTCTTTTATATCCTTAATTGCCACCAGTGATTGAGTTTTCCATTTGCTTAGGGTATTCTGCCTTTTTGAAGCTAACCATGAGGATTTTGCACAAGGGAAAAAATAATAAATTTGCCTGTTTCAAAGAACTTTTTCTCTTCAAGGGAAAAAAGGTGAGAGCAGGAAAAATAAAGCAACGGACTCCTTATTTCTCTCAAAATTAGTTTCAGAGGGGTAGTAGGGTTCTTCACACAAGCTGTTAATAGTAGAGCTTACTTATTCCATTAAAGCACTAAGATATCTTGTTGATTCAAAGGCTGCAGCATAACATCTACAGTCAAGATAAGATCCTTGATTCAGAAACATATCAAATAAAAAGGCAATAACTGAGGCAGGAGGGTCCCTTGTCCTCAAAACGGGTTCCATTGCTGAAATGGTCCTGCTTCTAGCATCGCTTTTCCACATGAACACTTAAATGTAGGTGGTGTCTGTTATTGTTATCTTTTAGATAATAATGCAGATGATTTAAACTTAAATGTTTAGAAAAGGCTTTGGAAAAGAAAAACTGCTATCAACAGCACTTCTAGCTTAGCACATCCAATTGCACCACTGTTAGCTTTGAAACAACCCAAAAGTGGAGACGAGCTCTGTCCAAAGTTTTTTTTTTATTAACACAAATGTTCTCCAAATTGGCAAAATAATATAGGTAGTCTTCGACTTACAACCATTTGTTTAATGACCGTTTGCAGTTATGAAAAAAGTGACATGCCAAATTTTCACACTTGTGATGCTTGGCAATTAGTATGTATGATAGTTGCAGTGTCCCAGGGTCATGTGATCACCTTTTGTGACCTAACAAGCAAAATCAATGGGGAAGCCAGAATCACTTAACAACCATGTTACTAATTTAGTTACAATGTTTCATTTAACAACTGTGGCATGAAAAGTTATAAAATGGGGACAAAGTCACTTAACAACTGTCTTGCTTAGCAAGATAAATTTTAGGCTCAATTGTGGTTGTAAGTTGAGGAGTAACTGTATGGCATAACCAATTCAGAAAAATATTTGTAGCTCGGGGTCAAAATGAGCGGTCCTTGGTGGATTCTAAGCTTGGTTATTTATTTTCTTTCAGATGTTTCATTATCCAAACTAGGTAACATCCTCAGTGACTAGCCATTTGCATAAAGAGTGAAATTGGTGAACATGTGAATACGAATACGTACACAAAGCATGAGGACACAATGAAAGACAAAGAGGGTTGGGAAACTGAGGACAAAATCATGTGCAGAAGCCCAAAGAGAAATCAAACGAAAGAAAAAGTCCCATCTGAACTGAGATCCATTGCTATTAAAATTTGTGCAGGTCAATGCATTGATCATGTATATCAGCACTGAAAAAGACATAGTCCCCTTTCTACATGGGTCTATTTTCCCCCCATGTTTCTTATGGTGATGTGGGCTTAAATCACATGTTTTATAATGTACAGGCAGTCAGAAATATGATTAGGTGCCCCCTTTTAAATGACAAATATGAGCATTTGGCATTCACTCAACTGGAATCCTGTGATATTTCAATAGATTTATATTAGGATGATGTGACCTAATATCAGCTAAAGCTCCAGAAATAAAGGAAAGAAGAAAAGTTGTACAATGAGAATGTGCTTGGCTCAATTATTTAGAAATATTTCATGACACTCATGCATCCTTCATACTTGTTTTGGATTTTAGAATTGCACTTTGTTTGGGACAAACAAAACAATTTGGGACACCAGTATGGAACAATTTGGAATGTGTTCAAACAAGGGCACCAGGAAAAATTATAAGACAAGGAAGTAGATCCTTTAAGGAGAGGTCAATTGGATGGGGTTTATATACCATTTTAAAAGGACAATAATGATGAAGGATGGGATATGACAGTGATGGCGAACCTTTTAGAGACCGAGTGCCCAAACTGCAACCCAAAACCCAGTTATGTATCATTGGGTGCTGGGTGGGCATGGCCCATTGGATGGGTGTGGCCATTGGGTGGGCATGGCCCACTGGGTGGGCATGGCTGCGGTGGTAATGGCAGACTGGGTGGGACTAAAAAGTTCAATCAATCAATTCCAACTTTGCAAGATCTTTTTTTCCCCGCGAGAAGTTGAAATTGGCTGATTGATTGAACCTTTTTTTTTTTTTGCACACGGCGGTGGAGGCCTAAAGCGAAAAGGTTTTATAAAACCCAGCTGAAGGCCTAGGACTGGAGCAACGGTGCGTGTGCCCACAGAGAGGGCTCTGCATGCTGCTTGTGGCACGTGTGCCATAGTTTCGCCACCACAGGGATATAACATTTCCAAGCAATTAGAGAGTCACAGGCAGAATTTGTTCTTCATAATTTTAGAGGGTAGAATGAAGAATAAGCAAGGAGGTTCAATTCATGGCATAAATGATCAATTACTATCCTAATATTCTATTATTCTATTTTTAGTGACTGGATATCATATTGCTGCTACTATACTTTTCTGGAAAAGTGGCATACTGAAAGGACTGAAGATAGATGATGTTGTATCCCTATCCCTCCCCCTCTGTTGGGAGAGGGGGATATTATAACTGATTTGGTAATTAAAAGTATGGATTTCTTCTTTGAGTCTGATGTCCACAGATATTTAAGTTCCTCCTCCGTTTCTATTGTTTTATTAATATGTTTGACTGGATCTCTTCTCCATGTATCCAAGAGTTCATATTATCATATCTGATCTGGGGATCAATGGCTATCAGCCTTGATGGCAGTAAGGTTGCCTCTGAAAGTCACCTGCTGACAGACTAGTGAGAGACTGAGAGACTTGTGTACAGGTAGTTCTTGACTTAAGATCATAACCGAGCCCAACATTTCTGTTGCTAAGCAAGACAGTTACTAAGACAGCCTTTCTTGCCTCAGTTTTAGGTGAATTACTGCAGCTGTTCAGTTAGTAAAATGGTTGTTAAGCTTCCCCGTTGACTTTTCTTGTCCCCACATGACCCTGGGGCACTGCAGCCATCACAAATACGAGTCAGTGGCCAAGCATCTGAATTTTGGTCACGTGACCATGGGGATGCTGCAAAGGTTGTATGTGTGAAAAATGGTCATAAGTCACTTTTCCATGAATAAATGTTGTAAGTCAAGGAGTACCTGTACTTGATTGGCCACTGTGAGAACAGACAGCAGGACTAGATGGGCCACTGCTTATGTATGTCCTTATGGTAATTATTGGAGGTGATGGATACACATTCCAAAGATTTCCAGGGTAACAACTCTGATAGACTTGGTTAACTTTCAATTACTCCCAACCTCCATTGTTATCAAACCTACTCAACTGAAAGGCAATCATGAATGCATATAACATATGCCATACAGTTTCATTCCCCAGTAGCAATATAAAACGAAACCAGAACTATTGTACAATGGAGGAATTTTAAAAGGCAGGATTAAAATACACATTAGTGAAATACTTCCTATTTGTCAGAGTTAAACCAAATGGAACTGACATATCCTTGTATTGACAGGAAACAGAGAAATCATTTTAAAAAATACTATCAGTGGTTAGAAAGCTAGCAATCGTGCTGGATTGCTGGAGATAACTTCTGGAAAGAATAAAAGTTCACTGTAAGTTGAAAGAGTTTTACAGAAAAGTACCATCGCTCCCAGGTGCAGCTGCATTTCTACTATTCTTTTATTATTTTCCAGCATTAGTGACTGGATATCTGCTACTGTAGTACATTTCTGAAAAGTGAGAGTCAATTACTTTGAATAAAATACATAGACGGAGTGTTTATTAAACACCAGTGATCGTTTTCTCCATTTTATGCCATTGGAATTTTATAGGAATCAATATACATTTATCCAGGGGCCATCCACGATATATTCTTCGTGTCATCGTTCATTCCGCCAAATTTTGGATTTAAAGTGAGGATTTTTTCCACTAAACAATATCAGGGAGAATGAGAAATGCAGGAAAGGAGCTATTTAAAAACCTTAAACCTTTTGAAGCTGCCCCAGCCACTCCTTGTCAGAAACAATGCTTGATGGCGTCTGACAGACGAGCAAACTTCTGCGGCCGGCCGAGGAACCGGACATTCAGGGCGATGGACCCCGTCAAAGAAAGAAGGCAAAATCGCCTTTTTCCTTGAAAGAATAAAAGTAAAAGCCCCAAATCGGAGCCGTTTCCCCGGCGAAGGAGCCTCACTCCGACTCCAGAGTGAATGAATGAATGTGTTACTTGGGACAATCCAAGCGGCTTTTCCAGCCAGACGCCCGTCCGGGGAGAGGGACCTTCCTCCCCACGCCGGCCCGGAGTCCCCCGAGAGCGGCCTGGCCCCCTTCCCCAGCCCCGCACTCCAGAGACAAGGCTTGAATTTACACGAAAACACCAAACATGTCCTCGCCGGAGATGCGCGGAGGAGAAAGCCGCTCCGCTTCGGCCCGGTTTTCTCCCGCCCGCCGCCTCGCCTCGGCCGGGCGCCGCCCCCGCCCCAAAGGCCGGCTCCCCCCGCCCCGCTTCCACCGGCCCCGGGCGCGCCCCGCCACCCAGGCGCGACTCGGGGGACGCTTTCGGGGCACCCAAGAAACACAAAAGTTGCAGCCGCCGGAGCCGCGTCTGGCTGGCGAAGAGCGGCGCCCGCGAACGCACCAATCAGGGCGCAGCTCCGCCCCTATAAATAGCAGGCAGCTCCTTCGCCTCACTTCAGACTTTACTTTTCGGCTCCCGGAGACTCTGCGCCCGCCCGCCCCGCCGCCCGCCCGCCCGACGCAAGGAAGCCGCGAGACCCCGAGGAGGCCATGTCCGAGACGGCGCCCGAAGCCCCCGCGGCCGCTGCGCCGGCAGCCAAGGCGCCGGCAGCCAAGAAGGCCAAGAAGCCCGCGGTCGCCGCCGCCAAGCCGCGCAAGGCTGCGGGGCCCAGCGTCACCGAGCTGCTGACCAAGGCGGTGGCCGCCTCGAAGGAGCGCAACGGGGTGTCCCTGGCGGCGCTCAAGAAGGCCCTGGCGGCGGCCGGCTACGACGTGGAGAAGAACAACAGCCGCATCAAGCTGGGGCTGAAGAGCCTGGTGGGCAAAGGCACGCTGGTGCAGACCAAGGGCACGGGCGCCTCGGGCTCCTTCAAGCTCAACAAGAAGCAGCAGGAAGGCAAGGACAAGGCGCCGGCCAAGAAGAAGCCGGCCGTCAAGGGCAAGAAGCCCGCCGCCAAGAAGCCGGCCGCCGCCGCCGCCAAGAAGGCGCTCAAGAAGCCCGCCGCCAAGAAGAGCCCCAAGAAGGCCGTCAAGAAGCCGGCCGCGGGGGCCAAGAAGGCGGCCAAGAGCCCCAAGAAGGCCAAGCCCGCCAAACCCAAAAAGGCGGTTAAAAGCCCCGCCAAAGCCAAGGCGGTGAAGGCGAAGGCCAAGCCCGCCAAGCCCAAGACTCCCAAAGCGAAGGTGGCCAAGCCCAAGAAGGGGGCGGCCAAAAAGAAGTGAAGCAGCTTCTGTGACTCTTTTGATCCCAAAGGCTCTTTTAAGAGCCACCCACTTTTTCTTTTGAAAAGGGGCTGACCTCACTTGAGTCCAGGTACTCGCCGTGCTTAAGCCAACCCCCGTTTCAATGGGGGACCACTTCAGTACGTCTGAAGTGCCTGCTTGAAACTCCCACAAGGACTCCTGGGAAGGTCGTAGGGACTTCCCAAGTCTCTTTTTCCGGGTGGGGTTTCTGGATATTGAAGCAAAAGTGGATGGGTGGGGAATCTTCCCTCTGGCTCTTTATCTTGCGATCAACAATAGCAGCTGACTTCCCTGTTAGGTAGGAACTCAACAACGGCTCCTTGTTCGCTAAATGTTGAGACAGGGAATGCGCAAATAAAATGCTTAGTGAATTTTAGGTAGCGTGACATTCTCCCGCAAAACCAGAGCGCTACCTAAAATTCACCAAGCATTTTATTTGCCGCATTCCCTGTCCAACATTTAGCGAACAAGGAGCCTGCCTTTCGTTCTTATCACGACTACTATTGCCCGGATATTCCTCCCTAATTTATGCGTAATCTTGTTGTATATATTCCCTCACGACAGCGGAGGAAGGAGGAGAAAGAATGTCCAGAAAAGGACTAAAATGAATGAATGCAGATGTACAGAATTATTGCAACCTTTGCAATTCTTGAAAATTGCTGATTGGTTGAGAAAGCTATGGTTCATTAAAAAAAAATAATAACCCGGGCTTCACAGGGATTGGGTGGTGACTTCATTTTTAACCAATCAGGGCTAACGCAGGCACTTCGCATAGTGATGATCTAATTGGATTTCTGCTTTCCCCGCTATTTCGTTACGATGTAACGAAGGCATGTGAAAGTGATCGGTGTTGCTGTTACGGTGTATCCCAATTTTCGGGAAACATGAGACAATGTTATCCAAAATGCCGCAATCATGTCTAAGAGAAACCATTTGAGGCTTCCTTAAGTCTAAGGAAGAAAAAATGCATAGTAAACATTACCGAAGAATTGTTTCATTAAAAAAAATAATAATAACCAAGGATGCTTGAGGCACCGTTGGCCATCATGCCGAAATCATATGTTGGAATCGAGTACTGAAAGCGAAAAGAAATACAAGACACTAAATAAATATTTCTGTGAACACACTTTTAGAAATTTCCTTGATAAACGGCTTTGTTACACTTCACAAATCACAATTCCCAATTTCCCGAGGTACATTCAATTTCAAAACGTTTCTGTAACTTTTTTTAAAAAGTTCTACACCCGCTTGTCTTATTAAGTTACAGAGGTTTGTAAGCATAAAAAGAAAAGTTGCGACTTTGTAGCACATTTCTTTATAAACGAAGAACCTGATTGGTCACATTCCAGTTCTTGGTTGATTTATTGATGGAAAAGCCCGCCTCTTAGAATTCTTATACTTAAGGGAGGAGGAGCCGAAAGTGGTGTACGCCTCTCTTACAAGTTCTCACTCAGGTCGGGTAAAGTGCTATATAAACGTTTGCTCTTGCAGTCGCTCGTCACATTTTTCTCCGTTTTGCTGAGAGATCTGTGCTAGTCGTTTTTGGTCATGTCTGGTCGTGGAAAAGGCGGGAAGGGTCTCGGGAAAGGAGGCGCCAAGAGGCACCGGAAAGTGCTCCGCGATAACATCCAAGGCATCACCAAGCCTGCTATACGCCGTCTGGCTCGCCGTGGAGGTGTGAAACGTATTTCGGGCTTGATTTACGAAGAGACTCGCGGCGTACTGAAGGTCTTTTTGGAGAACGTTATTCGAGATGCTGTGACCTACACCGAGCACGCGAAGCGAAAGACTGTAACTGCTATGGATGTCGTTTATGCCTTGAAACGCCAAGGTCGTACTCTGTACGGTTTTGGTGGATAAGTTTATAGAATTCATCTTTATTTGTTGATCTAAAAGGCCCTTATCAGGGCCACCCACACATTCCTAAAAAGAGCTGTGTTCGCTTGTGAATGCAAGTGTAAATGTTGAATATGTTCGCTTGTGGGTGTAAATTACATGTAAAACTATTGGAAGGAACACTAGGAGAAGAGAAATCTGGTGTTGGGAAACTCCTTCAGTGGAACATTGTAATCTTTAAAAAAAATTGATACAAGCTCTTTGAAAGAAAGTGGCACCATGTGAAACTGTTAAAATGTAAATGTTTGGTCCATTCATGTATCTCGTTTAAGAAAACAAAGTAGCTCCTTTAAAAATTAACCCAAGAAACTAACAACAAAAGGCTTTATTCAAGAGCTGGCTGCTGGCCTGCAACTCTGAAGAGAAACATGAATTGGGGGGAGGGGCTGTTTATGCTGGTTGTCATTTCACACCGTCTTTTCAATAGCCTTTCCCCCCCCCCCCCTTTATTTCTGACATTGAAAGTAATTGCTCTCATATTTTCTCCTGTCTCACTCACCCCCCCTCCCCTTTACACTGCTAATAGAGAAAAAGTGGAAGGATCTATTGAACACGTTGGGATGTTCTGCCAGTCGCAATGCAGCCTGGGATGTTTCAATTCATGGCAGAATGGTGACACACGATTTCTATTGTTCTTTCTCCCACTTCTTGATTATGAATCCGAAGGTTAAGCTTGATGGGAAACCTGTCTAAAGTGGCCAAAAGGTTTTATAAATGAGCATATTCACCTCACCTATCAACTCAGGATTTGATTAGCTATGATTTACCCAATAAATTATAATTTTATGAGCTGGTACAATATGCTTTTAGTTAACTGAGCTACTTTCCTTAATTAAAACATCTGTGTTGCAGATCCTATGTGTAGGCTAATAATGGTAGTCAATTTTACAAAAAGTACATTTTAGCCTAGCAACTCCAGAATCATGTGCAACTCGTTTTTGGTTAATAAGGTAAATTAAACCCGGTTACTTTGTGCAAAAAGTTTTAAATAACTTGGTAATTAAGCAGCTTAAACTGCTCCACATAGAATTCTGGTTTATGCTTTTATAGAATCCTGGAATGCCAGTAAAACTTTTCAGAAATTACACCCAAATGAAGCAAAACATGACTGAGAAGGAAAGCTTATATGCATACTCAGGAGCTCAGCAGAACCAGGCTTTGTTAGAATTTGAATTGGATACCACCAGTTAATTCCAGAACTGTAGAGAACAAAGGCTAGATTGGGAAGTTGAAAACATGTCTTGGAAGATGGAAAACCACATTCACCCTGCCAAGAATTTAATTTTTTTTTAATCCTCCCTCTCCCTTTTTATTTTGGAAATACAGGTAGTCCTCGACTTGCAACCATTCATTTAGTGACCATCTGAAGTTACAATGGCACTGAAAAAAGTGACCAGTTTTCACATTTATGACTGTTGCAGCATCCCCATGGTCACATGATCAAAACTTGGATGCTTGGCAACTGGTTCCTATTTATGATGGTTGCAGGGCCCCTGGGTCACGTGATCCCCTTTTCTTGACTTTCTGATAAGCAAAGTTAATGGGGAAGCCAGATTCACTTAACCTTTTTACAAACTTAACAACTGTGGCAAGAAAGCTCATAAAATGGTCACTGGAAAGCTGTCTCGCTTAGCAACAGAAATTCTGGATTCAATTGTAGTCATAAGTCAAGGACTATCTGTGACTCAAGGCAGTGAATATGCATAACACTCCTTCCTCCTCCTATTTTTTCCACAACAACAAACCTGTGAGGTGGGTTGGGTTGAGAGGGGGTGAATGGCCCAAAGTCACCCAGCTGGTTTTCATGTCTAAGGCGGGACTGGAAGTCCCAGACTCCTAGTTTCTAGGTCAGTACCTTAACCATTACACCAAATTATATCCATTCTTTAAGTATATCTTTCCCTTTCTATTAAACAGAATTCACTTCTGTATTAGTATAGGTGTCAAACAATTTTCTCAAAGTAGTAAGCTTGGGTTTCTTAAGGAATAAGTGAAGAATTATGAGCCCAAGAGACAGTTGATTAGTACAGAAATAGATGCCTTTTAAATTAAAACTCTCCCAGGACCCTTGCTTTGGGTATAGAACAGAGGTGTTTGCTGGGTATGATCCGAACAGTCATGATATCAGTCAAAACAAATGAAATCAAAGCTTAGCCTATTTATTTATGTGTATTGCCATCTTGATTTCTTTTACCACGTCCTTTTATTGTGATTGGAACTCATGGAGGATGAAATCCAAAGTATCTTAAGGTAAGCAAATAGCCTGCCTGCCTCTTTGATCAATCCTGGGTCAATCTTGGAAGATTTCTAAAAGGAAAAAAAAATCCATTCAATATTCTAAAAATGGATATTACTTTCAATCCATTTGTGGGATGAAAGTTGCAAAAGATGATTACCAGTAATATTATTTTTCTTGCTCCCTTTCAATCATGTCTCCAGAGAAAATGAGGGGAAGCCAAAGAGAAAACCTTTAGTAAACTGCACAAAAGGCAACTTAGTTGCAAGAATGAAGCAATACATACAAGGCATTTGCTTTGTTTGTTTTCTTTTCACCCTTGCCTTACATTCTTGGAATTGTCTCACAAAACAGCTGGAAAATAAATGCCTTTTTGAAGCAATCAGGAACAAATATTTCAGTAGACGTTTCAAAACGTTATTCCCAGTAGATTTAAAAACAAACAAACAGTTACCCCTTTATTCAGTTTTAAATTTTATAACAATGCATGTTCAATAGATAAATTATGAGAGGCTTGAGACCATGTACATACCGCAGTTAAATTAGACTCGCCACATAATTATTTTATAAAAAATGGGCGCCAAAATCGTGCCTAGCTTTGAATTCTATTTACTGTATTCTGATTGGACAGTTTAATTCGGTATTAGTCATTCATTGGACAAAGGAACAATAAGGTTCGTTTTAAAAAAAAAAATCTTTCCCGCTGTTTTCATTCTGGTCGGTCTCTACGCAATATAAGCTGAGAGATTCGTGCGCTGAACAGCATTTCTTTTCCCGCAAGTGAGGTGTTCGGTGCTTGAGAAGAAACATGTCTGGACGTGGAAAAGGCGGAAAAGGGCTCGGAAAAGGGGGCGCGAAGAGACATCGGAAAGTGCTCCGCGATAACATCCAAGGCATTACCAAGCCTGCTATTCGTCGTTTGGCTCGCCGTGGGGGAGTAAAGCGTATTTCTGGCTTGATTTACGAAGAAACTCGGGGCGTGCTGAAGGTGTTTCTGGAAAACGTTATTCGTGATGCCGTGACCTACACCGAGCATGCAAAACGAAAGACCGTGACTGCGATGGACGTCGTTTATGCCCTGAAACGCCAAGGTCGCACTCTCTATGGCTTCGGAGGCTAAAAAGTTGAATTAACAGTACAAAACTCAAAGGCCCTTTTCAGGGCCACCAAATCTTTCAGAAAAAGAGTTTGAGTTGCTTTTTGATTTTGTAACCAGAATTTTGGTATAAACATTTAAATCTTATACAGTGGTGTGAGTGTGTGCTTGCTACCAATTTTCAGGAACTGCCTGCAGGCATTTAAGATTTTCTGAAATAGATTACTTTTTTTCTCTCAATATATACTGCTCAAAAAAAATAAAGGGAACATTTTACCATGGAACTGAAGGGGTTTGCGTTCCCTTTATTTTTGTGAGCAGTATACTTGTGAGAAACTGATGCCCCAGGTCACCCTGCTGCTTGAGGGCAGGGTTCATGATTTCTGGCTTTGTACCCTGGAGTTTCAATCCATATATCAAATAGGCTCCTTACTATTGCTAACATGAAAATATTCATAGCATTGCAGCATTTTAATTCTAAGAACAAATTTTACATTTGTGTAAGTAACAAGACAAAGCACTATGATGTCAAATAAGTGATATTTTGAAAAAGGATATTTCTAACTAGTATAACAGTCTTATATTCAAACATTCTGTTGAATTCAATGGGAATTAGTCTGGAATAAAAACTGCAGCCCTAATGTAGTGGATCTAATTTGGAAAATGCTTTAAAAAGTCAATTCTGTCTCTTAAAGCTGAACAGTAACAATTCAAAGGATTTCTTTGCCTTTTGTTAATTTATGTGGATTGAAGAGTTTGGATTTTGCCTTCACTGGATGACTGATGAAAACGGGGGGGGGGGGGGGAGTAGTCCCAGTCTTTAAAATGTGTGTTGGTAGATTTACATTACAAATGGATGCCAGTTCTGCTCCAGAACCAAGTAAGGAATCCTCCTCTTCCTTTGAGAATTACAGTATCGACCTCCTGAGTTTTTGTTATGGCTTTTTACTATCCCATTTTGATGAGTGTGGAAGAATATTATAGCTTGTTTAAGCTTTTCTCTTACTGTAATTTGACTGGTGTAGGGCTCATACTTCTCTCCAGGACTAGATTCACCTTTAATCTCTATTTTTATCTGGTTTCTTTGGACTGTTTTTGCAGCAAGGATTTAATAGTTAATTCTTTTAGTGCATTGTTTAAACCCTCACTGCAATAACATCTTGCTTTCTAAAGAGCCATTCTGGTAATAACATTTAAATCTACTATATAAATAGCTAATCCTTCCTCCACATGGCAGAAAAGGCAAAAGTCTGGCCATCTTTCTCCAATCTCCATCACCAAATCTACCAGAATTGGAAGTGAAATTGAAATCCAACATATCCGAAAGGAACTAGACTGGGGAAATTGTGCATGTGCTTGTACATGAAACGTTTTGTAATTTATGTTTGTAAACTGTTAAATATCCCTATTTTCAATCTGGGCCAAAATCAGCCATGGAGTATTCAGGAACAAGGCATCTTTTGCTGACATTTGCTGAGTACAAAGAAAGAAAGATTACTAAATAGTCTACCAGTTCTGATTAGAAAATCAATTGTGATTAGGAAATCAGACACGGCAATTTGGAGATGTGTTGCAGTTAATAAACCTCTAATTTGACCCACTTCCCATATTTTTGAATACAATCTATATGGGGGAAAGAAATGTCACGTTTTAAGAAAGTGGCATTAGATTGCAGTCTTAGCGGAAAGAAATTTGAATAAAACTTTGTGTAATATACTGAGTTACTGTGCTTAGGATTTCACAATAGAAAGCAGAGAATACAGAATAATAGGGACCTTGGATTTCAACCCCCTGCTTGAGCAGGAGACTTTTCCAGACATACGGCTGTCCAGTCTCTTCTTTAAAACCTCCAGTGATGGAACACTCACAGTTTCTGAAAGTCATTCTTCTGATTAATTGTTCTCACTGCAGGAAATTTCTCCTTAGTTCTAGGCTGGATCTCTTTTTGATAAGTTCCCATCTGTTACTTCTTGTCCTGGACACAGTATTCCAAATATGGTCTTACCAAAGCTTTACTAATACACAGTTCGTTCCATTACTGCTAATAAATTACTGAATGGAATAAATTCTAATGGCTGCAATTACATTTTTTTGTAAAGTACTGGACAGACTACAAGATGTATTATCTCTAGTATATTGCATGGATGGAGAAGTCATCTCTTAGTATCGATAAACGCGGGCGAGGGGGAGGCAGGATGCTTCGAGTCAATTAAAATCACAGAATAGCGATTGGCTGCGGCAGGAGGAAAAGAGACCAATCAGAGTTGTGCTGTTATTGTCCAATCACGGCAGAGCCCGGGAAATTCAAACAGGGTTAACGACTTCACTCTCAGCCAATAAGACGAAGGGACGCTGCCTATAAATACCCACCAGCTCGGCCGCCAAATTCATTCATCCGAACTTTTAGCGAGTGGATTTTCCTTGTTTGGAGGATGGCCAGAACTAAGCAGACGGCTCGTAAGTCCACCGGTGGCAAAGCGCCAAGGAAGCAGCTTGCTACTAAAGCAGCTCGCAAAAGCGCTCCCGCCACCGGAGGCGTGAAAAAACCTCACCGTTACCGTCCTGGCACGGTGGCTCTCCGAGAGATCCGGCGCTACCAAAAGTCCACCGAGCTGTTGATTCGTAAACTCCCTTTTCAGCGCTTGGTGCGTGAAATTGCTCAGGACTTCAAGACCGACCTGCGTTTCCAGAGCTCGGCCGTGATGGCCCTTCAGGAGGCCAGCGAGGCTTATTTGGTGGGTCTATTTGAAGATACTAATCTCTGCGCCATCCACGCCAAGCGAGTCACCATCATGCCCAAAGACATCCAGTTGGCTCGCCGTATCCGCGGCGAGAGAGCTTAAAAAATCTTTCACCTCACTCGGAGACTTCGTTATATACCCCAAAGGCTCTTTTAAGAGCCACCTACGCTTTCACTTTAAAAGAGCCTGGTCATGTGTACTATTTCGACTCCTGGCATCCATCCATTTATACGTTAAAGTCCCTGCAGCTATTACCGCGGTGTCAGGAGCACCGAGGCGCTTTAGGATAGAGAATTGGCTGGTGACGTTATACCGGTACACGGCGGACGCCCATGTCCCAGTTATCTACTCGCGATCTGTCACGGGAGCTCACCGTCCCGCGCGTCTAATATAAACGAGTCTGCCGATCGCCAGCCCAGCTTCCCAACCTCGTGGGCCACCGCACCATGTTCGGCGGTTGCCTTTCCTAAGTGACTGGCTGAAGGTTGGGCGAACTCAAGTCTCCTATTTCTAACCTCGTCTTAAATTCACTACCCTTGTGGCGCTCTCTCATTGCCCCCACCCTCAGCGAACGATCTGGGGGACAATTAGGACAGGGAAAGCCTGAAAACGAAAACGTTATATACGGTTGTACGAGGGAGGTGCTTGACTGAGGGTTAGCATCATGTCATGTCATTTTTTTCCCAGGGTGTCAAATGAGGTCAGCCCTTTTCAAAAGAAAAAGTGGGTGGCTCTTAAAAGAGCCTTTGGGATCGAAAGTCAAAGAAGCATCTTTACTTCTTCTTGGCCGCCCCCTTCTTGGGCTTGGCCACCTTCGCTTTCGGAGTCTTGGGTTTAGCCGCTTTCGTCTTGGCTTTGGCGGGGCTTTTAACCGCCTTTTTGGGTTTGGCGGGCTTGGCCTTCTTGGGGCTCTTGGCCGCCTTCTTGGCCCCCGCGGCCGGCTTCTTGACGGCCTTCTTGGGGCTCTTCTTGGCGGCGGGCTTCTTGAGCGCCTTCTTGGCGGCGGCGGCGGCCGGCTTCTTGGCGGCGGGCTTCTTGCTCTTGACGGCCGGCTTCTTCTTGGCCGGCGCCTTGTCCTTGCCTTCCTGCTGCTTCTTGTTGAGCTTGAAGGAGCCCGAGGCGCCCGTGCCCTTGGTCTGCACCAGCGTGCCTTTGCCCACCAGGCTCTTCAGCCCCAGCTTGATGCGGCTGTTGTTCTTCTCCACGTCGTAGCCGGCCGCCGCCAGGGCCTTCTTGAGCGCCGCCAGGGACACCCCGTTGCGCTCCTTCGAGGCGGCCACCGCCTTGGTCAGCAGCTCGGTGACGCTGGGCCCCGCAGCCTTGCGCGGCTTGGCGGCGGCGACCGCGGGCTTCTTGGCCTTCTTGGCTGCCGGCGCCTTGGCTGCCGGCGCAGCGGCCGCGGGGGCTTCGGGCGCCGTCTCGGACATGGCCTCCTCGGGGTCTCGCGGCTTCCTTGCGTCGGGCGGGCGGGCGGCGGGGCGGGCGGGCGCAGAGTCTCCGGGAGCCGAAAAGTAAAGTCTGAAGTGAGGCGAAGGAGCTGCCTGCTATTTATAGGGGCGGAGCTGCGCCCTGATTGGTGCGTTCGCGGGCGCCGCTCTTCGCCAGCCAGACGCGGCTCCGGCGGCTGCAACTTTTGTGTTTCTTGGGTGCCCCGAAAGCGTCCCCCGAGTCGCGCCTGGGTGGCGGGGCGCGCCCGGGGCCGGTGGAAGCGGGGCGGGGGGAGCCGGCCTTTGGGGCGGGGGCGGCGCCCGGCCGAGGCGAGGCGGCGGGCGGGAGAAAACCGGGCCGAAGCGGAGCGGCTTTCTCCTCCGCGCATCTCCGGCGAGGA